CGGACCCCACGGAAGACCAGCTTTCCCATGTCGGGTAAGCTGAATGAGGGAAATCCACCGTCTCATTCTTTGTTATTATGTTTTTATACGGAAATACATATTACTACTACTACATTGCTTTATGACGATTTACATTTACCTAAAATTGAATCAAATTGTAATTATATAGTTGGGAGAATTAAGGAATCTATTAGATCAATTTTTCCCAATCGTTATAATTAATAATGATCTGTTTTCACTCAAACTTTCAGATTATCTTTAATTGTACATCTAGCATTGAAGTCACTACCTTAGTACCATTTTCTCTCATCTGAACAATGTTACCAAGTCTTTTAAGGGTATATATTGACTATGAAGTGTGTATCTAGTAGCTCTAAAAGAAACATTTTCATTCATATAATTAGGAGTCGGGCCATGCAGTATTTTAAACATAATAATGTACATGTATTTAGCACGACGTACGGACAAAGTGTCCGATTTTTTAGGATATCATGCAATTGTTGATTGGATATACATGAACGTGATTGCCGATTTACCTTCAAAATGATCCTCCCCGCTCTATTCTAGAGCTTCTGTAACTGATCAACTGATTAGCATTAATAATAGCGTTGAAAGCCTACTTAATGAATAGTGCTATGGTATGTAAATATTAATCGATGATATGTGCAGTTGCATACAGTTTGTGTTTTGATGGCTTTAATCCGAAGGCATTTACGAATTTACATTTTACATGATTGCAATATTCATTAGTCATATTAGTTTCTTCCTTCCCGTTATATGAACTATTATATTCCTGCCTTAGATCGTGTAATGCGGTGTTGGTTTGGCTGTATTACTTAATCGAAATAATACACAAACTTAGTTTTTAATCCAGCACACCATGGTTGTATTAGATCACATATCACATGTATAAGATCACATATATATGACATCCCCCTTACAGCAAAATACACTGAGTCCGTAATGTCCAAAATTTTAAATACATATGTATCTAAACATAAAACATATATTGTACAAAGTCAAGGTCCTTTGATCAAATACCCGTTAACAGAGGTTAATAGACGGTTACTGTCCATGTTACCAAAATTAAGAGCACATTTTTTTTTTACTTGTCCCAGAAATTGGAAAATTATGCAGATATTTCGTTCAGTAGGGGGGGGGGGGGGGGGGTAAGGTCACTTTTTGTCACCCTTTAACATTAAAAAAAAAAAAAATTATTAAAAAAAAACAGACTGAGGGGTGGGGGGTTCCTCCAAAACACACGCATAAAAAGGGGGTTAAACCCCAACCCCCCACCCCCTCCTGCGTACGCGCGTGCATAACTTTCATGAACACGTATCCGGTATTTCGTCATCTTTGACGGCTTTAATCAAGTACATAAAGGGAATAAAAAGAACCGTGCACATTCTGGACTACGTTGACAGCAGCAGTATTGGAACATTCATGAGGCATTTTCCAGATGAAGGGAAACTTTAAAAAGTATTCTGCAACAATGAGGTAGATCGACACACACACATACACACTTCCAGCGATTCCATTTTCTGAAGTTAATGCGTTCAGTGCCATAAGCTGGACGTATTTTTGTGGATGTCGAACATGCTGGCCCCCACAATTGGGACACTTCTAAGCCTTCTGATGAACTACAGCAATCGATGCTGCTGACTACTTGTCTGGATCAGTGCTAGTTGTGTCATGTACATCTGCGAGGCTTAAATGTTCTACTCAGCTCAATCATTTGATTAAAGATAAGGGACTTGCTCTTTCGTAGCTACATGTCCTTTTGGAGCTCAGGATATATTGTGCCTGCAATGAGCTCAATAAAACGCTCTCGAAGCGATCAGTGTCATCGAGAAACTCGCAGTCATATGCCTGCAGGCTCAGACGCCTGACAAGTTGTCAACGCTTTCCCTATCCTTCTGAACATACCGCTGTAAATGCATAGCCTAGCAATACGGTAAGTGGTTTAGTTTGAGCTGTGTATCAAATTTTCCCCACACAACATCCTTCTTATCAGCACCCTCAAGATGCTTGATTTTGAAGGTAGAATGAGCGATCTGAAACGCACATCGTAAACGCTCATCGTAATCGCAGTTCCACGGTGTACTGTTTATGCTCACTTCTCTGGCTCCTCCAGGCAATTCTCCCCGTGTGGCCTTAATTGGCCTTGCAGCTGGATTCGTAATCTGCACTGTGCATGCTACGTAGACCCACTAGAGGTCAGTGCGTTGACCCCATTTAAACGCGTTTACAAATTGTAAACGCATCTTTTTGTGAGTTTACGATCGACGATCGCGATCGCCGTTTTTTCTGTGATTCTACAAAAGTGAGCATGGACGCAACCGTGTTTTAAACTAAACGCGTAACAGATGCCTGATTCTGGCCAGAAAAAGTTAAGCATAAACACGAGATGCAATTAACACCAGCAAACAAGAGGATATGGTCGACGTGCTTGTCAACAGCAACATTCTTGACAGAGAAGTAAACACTGCATTGTTGATGAAGTTTTGACAGTACTGGCCCTGTCAGGCTCGTCCCAGTTCATTCGGGGTGCAAATGAATCAGTCATTGTCCATACAAGCCAGTCAAAGATAATGTTAAAGTCATTGTCACAGTACTCACAGCAAAATGGTAACGTTGGGCTGTAGTGAGGAGCACTGCAGAAATCCAATGCAATGCGCCAATGAGTTGGCCTAAGAAATTGTCCAATGACTCACGTGTAGTTCCAAAACAAGTCCAGTGGGTTCTCAAAACGCTGCCACCATGTAATGTAGCGTTGTTTTGGCTGTATTCCTACATACAAAATAACACATGAACGAAGTTTTTAATCCAGCACTCCTGGATCATAAATCACACGTATAAGATCACACATCATAATGATTGATATTTTTACGTATTATGGTGTGCATACGAACTTATAACTATGTATGAAAAGCATAACAGAAATTTGAAAAATTGAAAGAAACATTTTTGAAAAGTTATGTTTTAGTAGTGCTTTGAAATGGGTTAGTGTTTTAGTACCAGATTGTATATACTTAATTGCAATTAGAATGGTATCGATATGAACGAATGCATGTGAGCACATACTTGCAGCTAAAATCACAAGACATCATGGATGGCACATGATAGGTCTATATGATTTGAACCAATGTGCTTTTTGATTACTATAACATGATTTCTTCCTCACCAGTTGACGTAGAAAACGATGTTGCCGTATATTCAGTGGTAATTTCAAAAATATTGGTCGTAGATTTACTTTCTGTTGAAGCTATAGCATCATAAAAAAGTAACACAAATATTACAAAACGAAACTTTGCTATTGTAAATTTGAATAACTCAAATGTTAAGCATGGATTTCGGGCAGTATTAAACATATTCTTTACATTTTGTAAATTAAGTTTCAGTGTAATTTTCTATCCATCAGATTCTAAATCTTGAATTTCGAGTATCTGCGGAATATGATTCGAAAGTTGGGTGCCAAGAAGATTTTTTTTATAATACATTTCAGAGTGAGGTTATTGCAATCTTGTAGTGGGCCTGGGCCCTATATGAAACTTACAAAATCTTACAAAGCTAGTTGAATACAGTCTCTGATTGTTGATTGCGTTGTAGATAAGAAGAACTGCCCAATACGTGGTTTTCGAATCATTAAACATACAGATATTGACCGAGTTATAACACATGCTTGATATCGTAAAAAATGAAAGGCACTGGAGACAAATATAGATACGTAGGACGACAAAAACCATGTGGCATCAGACTATGCATGTTGCAAATTTTAAAAATAATGCAACTTTTTCTAGTCACATCTAAAATAGGAGAGCACTTCGTGAGCAATCTTTTTACAAGCTTTCGAAATCGCTGTTAAGATATTATTCCGTGGGAATACAAAGAAAGGGGACAATCAAAAATAAATGTTTGCCTTTAACAGAATAAGTCATATTTTTATTGAGGTAATTAATTCATGGACGATTTTATTGATATGGGACTTCATTAGTGCATGAATGGCGTGAAAATAACAAGAGAACATACGTGAACCACCACCCAACTCTGTAGTAAAACCTGTTGTTGCTGAAACAAATGAAGATATAATTGTCATAGAGGTGTCTTGAAAGAAATAACATAAATTATAATTCTAGTTTAGGATTTATAACCTGGTACTTACTTTCATCTTTTCTTAGTTAATCTTGTCTAAACATTAGCTTATTACTAACGATGGGTATAGGCAAACTTCTATTTTCACTTCATTAAAATTAAAGCAATATTCTAGGCTTATGAACTACACAAAGGGCCAAACTATGTAACAACAATACGACTTTACAGGCATCGAATGGACGCACAGTTTTAACCAATCAGAACACTGGAAGATGTACGTGTTAACACAATTGTTTAGTTGTAAACACGTTTATTTAGTTGTAAACACGTACATTCGATGGATGTATAGTTGTAAATTTGTATATTTGTCATGTCGAATAGATGTATATAGTTGTATAGTTCATGACACGTTTAGCCCGCCATAACCTTAAGCCTTGTCATCAGGTCATTCACAATGGAAACCAAGACTGTGTCAACATAACAACAAATATCGTAAACTTTGCCTGTAAATGAGCCTTTAATGGAGTCTGCGTTCACATTGGCACCTTTCATATTCAAATGCACACAAATCAAGTCGAATAAGTCAGCAATGTTCTTTGGACTGAAAAAACAATGTATTAGGGCTTTTGACCCATATCAATTGTTTTGAGCCCAAACTTGGTACAAGCAGATTTTGACAATCCTTTTAAAAATATTGTTGCTCAGTCATCCGTGGCGGTAAAGATATGAAGAAGGTTTCACTATAAAGAATATTATTTGCTCCTTAGAATCACCAAATGAATGAACAAGCAATAAGGTATGCACAGCTTATTGTTTTTTCTCGAAAGAAAACTCTCGATATATGACAATAAGATTTATTATAAGACAAGATAAACACAAAATAAAAAGTGTTGGCTGTCGTCACCTACCATCCATTGTACAATCTGGAATTGTGTCGTTCCATACGGGATAATATGGTGTTAATTTCGGCACACATTGCAGGGTTCCATTTCCTTTCAGACTGTATCCATCCATACATGTAAGAAGAACGATAGAACCAAACCATGTGATGTTAGAATCCCAAGATCCACCAATCGTGTCGTTCGGCTCCTCACAGAAACCTATAGAAGCTATAAAAGAGAGGTATGAGATCTGATTATTTTGAGAAATTCATCGGTTCTGATTTCGTCAGAGGCAGAGGGTTTATAAAATACGTTTTGTGAACATTTTCACATTTTAGACTAACGATATATATGGTATTTACAAAATTCTCCAAGAAAATCCAAGACTTTCTGGAAATGTAAACACAATGACATGCATGCTTTAAAGGTACTATGTCCCATTTGCAGGCCCAAAAAATTAAAAAGTTAAATTCCAACTGCATTTGAAAGATAATACTTATTTAGAACTTCCCTAAAAAGGTGGGGCTTGAAAATGTCTTCAAATGGGAAAAATAATGACTATTGGTTGTCAAATCGACTTTAGGGCTATAGAGCCCAAAAGTTATAGTCTTGATTTTCATACAATTGTACCGAATAGTCATACGTTTTATGCTGCGCAAAGATTCAATCAGTTTAATCTTGGCCATCACAAGAAGTGGGTTATTGATGTAGACAAATGCTCATGTACCCTTTACAACTCTTTTCATGTATGTTAATACCAAAGAAGAAAAAGCCAGTCAGTCACTCAATAGTGTCTGACAGTGAAGTCTAGCAAGTAAACGGGTTTCCTTGCATAATTTGAATATGAGGACAATGCTAACGTTTAAATTTCACAAATAGGACATACATGACATATCCATAATTCCTTCAAAGTTCTACAGAATTTGAGGTTGGCTGCAAAAGGGACATAGTACCTTTAATACCAAATAACAATTATCAAATGATTTTTATATTTCTAAGGTCCGTTCTGGACATAACTTGATAGATGATTCCAGTGAGAAGTAAACTTCCAAGAAGAGTACCAACGTAAAGTTTTATGGTATCCTCTTATGACTGATCGCAAAGACAGTCGTGTGCCTTACCTGTTCAAACGTGTGAACAGGACAATGCCATATTACATTATCGGTACATGATAATTACAATACAGTTTTGAAATGGCTCTTTAGTTTATTTCTTGAAAGTGTTTTCGATCGTATGCATATGCCTACCGTCATAAACTTCCATTTTTGATAGCGACGTTGTTTCTTCGCTGCACTTTGGTGCATCTACCAACTGGACTTCGGCAGATGTGGAACAAAAACATTCAACGTGATTCGTAATAGCGATAGTTTGGATTTCGTGTGTTTTACACGAATTGATACAACGTGCAGTCGATGAGAAAGTAAATCCGTTCTGTTCTGTCATGGTTTCGAGTTCATAGCATCCTTTATATCCTGGCTCTGTGGAAAAAACCCAACAAGATACTTGAATGTAGAAACAAACAAACACACACATATGATAATAAGCAAACCCTTGTAATGATGATGAGGAGTAGGAGGGCGTCTACAGTAGGTACATTTAGTATTTCGTCTCTGTCTCTCTGCCTTTCTCTCTGCCTGTCTCCCTCCCTCTCTCGCATCAAGCCTTTAATAAAGGCATTCGTGGTTGTTCTCAAACATTCAACATCATCGTTCAATGGAACCAGACTGATTTTTTTTTTTTACTTAAACTTTTCTAAGGTTTCAGAAATATAGAATTATGTAAACATTTTATTTTATTATTTAGCCTAGCCCTTTCGCAAAAGGCAAATCTAATCAACAATTACAAATTAAAGGAAGGTTAAAATTGCTTATTTAGGAATAATCCTCACTTCTTTTCAAACTTTTTCACAAAAGAGCCTTTACGTATCTTATACAGAAATTAGGACAAACGAGAGATATCTTGACTCACCATGACATTTTATTTTGACGCCATTCTCAGACGAGCACATTGAATGCTCTGCTGCGCAATCCATCAGACGATATGTATCTGTAGAAACATGTATTAATACACATCGTAAATCGAATCTAGAAATGTTGAACTGGAAAATATTTAATATGTATTAAAGCCACACTGTCCTACTTGTAGCTACTTGCTCCCTCTATATAGAAAACAATGCCAAATCGGTGACCATTGGTCCCCCATGATCCTCTTTTTCTTACGTTAATTGAGAGCTGAGTTGATGAGATAACCACCTGTCCAGCCACCTTGCAGCGTGGTCTAATCCCTCCTATAAACTAGTACAGATAAACTTTAAGAAATAGTAAAAGTGCTCACTTTGAATATTCTATCAATACTTAAGAGAAGAAAAAGTTATACGAACTAGGGTTGCAACGTGGAGCTCTTGTACAGGTGCCTTCTAGACGATCAGATGCACATGTGGAGTTCTCGTATGAGATCTCCTTGAAACCAGGATAGCCAAGTTCTCCACAGATCACCCCTGCCACACTCTTGGCTAAGCTGTCTTCACAGACTCTCTTCCATTCACCAGATTGTGTGGGTAGCTCGAGAAATCCTTCTGCTGGTGAAGCACCGTCCATTAAACGACCAGAAAGGGCATCTAATGAGAGAATATTTCGATATTAGTGCTGCAGACCTTCAAAGAATTGACTTTCAGTAAATAGTCATTCCAAATACAAAAGTAAATCTAAGCCCAAATTAAACTTGAATTGAAGAACAAAGCGCTAATATAATAAGATTTAAACTTGAAGAGACATATTATAGATTTAAATTGTGAGCAACAACGGAAGTACGTGTATATGCACTTGTACAAAGTACTTTTTACTTTGAAAATAAAGGTAAATGAACATGTAGTCTGTAAATTGAACAATTCCAGCATTTAACCATGGACTTATAGTAGGTCCATGATTTAACTGCATGTTCGATGATTTTATCTTACTAAGCAAATAAAATGATATTGAAATACGATACAATACAATGCATTGTGTTATTTTAGGTAATACGCCCAAATCGCATGAAAATACCGTCAAAGAGGAAAAGCACAACATTAACCTACAGGAGAGGAAGACAGAAGAGGGAGAATGAAAGCGAATAACGTACATAAAACAGATTACCTGAAGAGAGATTCAAGCTGTGTTTAAACTATGTTATCATTCACAGAATACTATTTTACATATCGTGAACTTACGAGTGGACTTACTTGAAAGTTCGTTACATGAGACTGTAATATTGAATCCTGTCCTTCTGCCACTTCGAGTTGAGGTGAACTCAATATGAAGAGTATGGCTTGACGTCAGATAGGGAGTGAATTGCTTATTCTCACCTGTGTAGGTCTTTATATCAGACATGTCCCGAATTATAATCAAGTCAAGGGTATCTTCCAAGCTAAAGTCATTAAAAGTGACGAGAATCCTCCTATTAGGAGGTGCTGTGATAAACCACTCCTCCGATGCACCATTGGGGTAACGCAAAGGATAGTTCGGGGATGTAATTATGATACTCTTTGTGCAAACCAAAGTCAGATCTGTGTAGTGAATAAAAACAAACTTTTGTGTCAAACATTGCGAGATGCGTAATTCGTGTATCCTGAATTAAGCCTTATGTGAACGAAATGAAAACTAAAGAAGAATGGGATATGCAGGACTAAAGTTCTAAGGAGGTTGATTATCATGACTGCGTATTTAAGCACCTGATTTTGGTGTACATGATTTTCTTCTTCTACATCAGATTTTGAAAGGGAGGATTTTTAGCTGAACAAATGTGCGTTATCAAGCTCACTCAAAGTAGACGCCGCGTCAAGTTAAACAATCCGAGTTCCACTATATCTTTAAAACAAAAAACGTACTCATGAAATTAAATTGTCAACATGTCGAAATAAATTGATTTTCCATTGGGGTTACATACAATGTAAACATAGGTATAAACATGATACCGTGTGCTAATGGCAAAAGAGGTATTTAGCTAGTGCTAAAACAATAATGAATCAACACTCTAACAGCCCTTAGCAGACAATATTCTGAGCCAAATAATTATTCTCACTGGCGCTCCCCCAAACCCAAACTCATAATAAGCAATGAACTAAAGGCAAATAGCCTTAACCACTAATATATTTGCAAACTATTCAGCAGGACTTAACTTATTATACTTAAGGGGGCAGTATGATTATAAGGCTTTACATTATTCTTCATGTAAGTTGACAGACACGTTTTAACATTGTATTCACATTATCTACGGTACATTGAATACGTTTATCATAACATCTTTAAAAATAGAAAACAAATCTTACTAGTGCATTTTACAGTTGTCGAAGCCAGAGTCCAAATGCTCCAGGTGTAAAAGATATAAAGCAAACAGGAATCCAGTCTGTGGGAAAAATAAGGCATAACCATATGACACTTTATAGGTACCGATTTCTGTGTATAATTTACAATTTGAAGAGTGAAGTTGTAATGTATGTCAAAGTGAATGCCAAGGTCACACTATGTAGGTCAGCCCCAGGCCAAACTGCATGTATAATTTATCCAGTCAATTTCTAGATTTAAAACAGTGTTAATAGCGAATGGTATGATGATTTATGTCAAGCTGTTGGATATTTAATTTATCTTGATAGTTATGACAAGAAATGCTAATTTAGCTCTCAGAGTCTGGAATTTCTAAAAAAGAAACATCAGAAAGTCTTAACGTATCAAATATTACTGCGTTGAGAGGAGAATTGTTGCATTCACGTTTATTATTAATACTTCGTCTAAGCTTAAACACCAAATACAGACATATTGTAGCTGATGTTTGCATAGATTATAACTCATGTTATTATTCACATATATTTATGAGGCTTTCATTTGTGTCTTATTGATAGTTTTCACGGGGTGAAATGAACGGAGCAACTGATGCAAGAATACATGTTAAAAAAGCTCCCCTTTTCTATCGTTTATTTTCTTTAGCCTCAAATGCAGTCACAATTATATACATGTATACTAATGTACCAATTATATGGGCCAAGGAAATCAATGGAATATTGATACATATTACACGTATACGTTCTATTTTACCTGAACATCTTCACTCGAAAACACATTGTCAAAGCTTCATCGGTAGAAATCTGCAATCTGATTGTGTATGATCATAGTGCCTGGAGTGTGTCGGCACAGCTACGCAGTTCGTAGAGATGTTTACAAGTTTCTAAGTGAAGCAAAAGTTTTAAAAAAGATATTATGAACAATGGTTAAAGATATAGACCAGTTCTGGTCATTCGATTGCATTGTGAAAGAAACGTTGTGGAATCGATCAGAAAAGGTTGATCATCTAGCATATAAATATTGGTCTGTACTGCAAGGTTCTGGTATCATCAAAATGATAAGAAATTTGGCCTAGTCTTGGTAAATTGACAAACACTGTACACAGAAAGATGTATATGGGACTACGCGACACGTGTGGGATATCCATCCGGTCCGGATAGATATAATAATTTACCAAATACATCAATCAGTAGGCGGTTTCCCGGCAAAATTTGTATCATCACGTATATTAGTCAAAACATATTCTTTCACATGATTGTTAATACGAGCTTCCATTTCATTTTTTGAGAGGGGGCGTTTCTAACTCTGGTTTATACCTTTAAGTATGTAAGTGTTTAGAAATAGGATTCAGGTTCGCTATACTACGGCATGATAGTTCAAGCAGAGGTCTATATTTAAAAGCTTTAAACAGGGGCGGCGGAACCAGGGATCAATGCAGGCGGATGCATTCTCCCTCTCGGCCTCCCCTACATTTTCCGAAATCAAGATAGAACGCCCCTACTGCAATAAAGCAAGTCATTTCCTCTGTTTATTTAATGTACTCTTGCTTTTATACCATAATGACAAACAAAATTTCCTTTAATGTATTATCCGGGTGAAATTTTCAAATTTAGCTTTCAAAACTAATCCCTTTTCTTTCTCTTCCTGTCTCTCTCTTATATTCAAGGATCTAGTTGTCCTACTGTTCATTTAGTTTTCAGTCATAAACATGTATTTTACAGCGTTCAAATTTTATTATTTTTTACACCTAAAATTAATTCATCGTCGGTCACTTTGAAGAAGGGGCTAAATGAGCTTCTTTCATATTAATGGATGACGGCTTGGTTACGGATTCTTTCTAATCAATTCAGCAATGCGTTCATGTCAAAAGGAAAAACAAACATGGGTGTGTCCTTTTTACAAGGTACAGCCTTGTTTATCTCTCAATATTTCCTTCATTCGATTTTTATCTTTCATATTCCTATTAAAATAAAAACAAATCTACAGTACTTATTTGCATTGTCAGCGGCGAGGACCTTTGGGACTTTCGGTATCGTTGGCCTGAAGTTTCTGAATGTTTAATACACTCCGACCGTAACCGGCAGGCGCGGATCCAGGATTTGTTAGGGGAGGGGGCCCAAATTTGAATCAGTTTGAAATTTAGTGTGCTGAAATTCAAAAAATCGTGCCGGCCAATATCTCGCTCATAAAGATGAGAAACATAAACCGATGTCGGGGGGGGGGGGGGGGGGGGGGGGGGGGGGGGGGGGGGGTAGTCAGCACAATTTTTTTTTGGCCCCGAAAATTTGAAAAATCGCACCCCTCCCCCCTTGAGCGCCAGGGAAGGGGGGTGCCCATCTCCAAAAAAAATGTAAAGTTAACGTGTTTTTACACGGTTTTTTCCCAGGGGGGGGGGCGTGCCCCCTGCATGATCCGCCACTGGTAACCGTATCCTGCACTCGTCAGACTTTAAATAGTAAAAAAAAAAAAAAAAAAAAAATTCTTTAAGCTTTGGAACTTAGTTTTTAGTTTTCGATGAGTAAACATCACTTGAAACGTTAGAGCCAGGTGAAATATCCATTTCACTCCAACTTTTTGCTTTCGTTTTCTTTGCGACCACGATAATGCTAATAATCTTTGACCTCTTTATTTTCTTGCACGATGATTTTGAATCTAGAACTATCTACAAAAGGCATCCAGTAAAAATCTATAGAGTGTTTTTTGGTTTGCAGAAGTCCGGACACGTTTACGGTGGAAATTGGGAGCTCGTTTTATTTAACACATTATACAGTTAACTAGCAGGACCCGCGGAAATCCGCGGGATTCTAGAGGGGGCGGGGGGTGTAAATAGTATAGAGACTGTCTAAATTAAAACCACCAAGAACTTTCTTTGCCATTCAGGCCATTAAAAAATATACATGTTAAGCGTCCCCGCCCGCTTCCTTTTTTGGGGCCGCCTCCTCTTTTTTTTTTTTTTGAAATTTTTTTAATTTTTTTTTAAAAAATTTTTTATGAAAGAAAAAAAAACAGCATCCCCGCCCACTTCCTTTTTGGGGGCCGCCTCCTATTTTTTTTTTTGAAAGAAAAAAAACATGAAAAGCACTGCTAAAATGTATTTCTGATTAAGAAAAAAAAAAAAAAAATTGTCGGCCGCCATTTTGAAAAATAGCCCGAATGTCAGGAAAAATGTACGGAGCGGCCATTTTGAAAGAAAAAAAAAAGGGCCTCCTCCTTCCCATTTTTTGAAAAAACAGGACGCTATAGACTAAGCATGTTTTTTTTTTTAATTTGGCCTTATATTAAATAAAAAAAACAATCCAACTGTACCGGTAGTTATTCTTTCAGCCACTGGAACAGGCAAAAAATTAAGTTTTTCATTTCGGGGGCTCCATTTCAAATTTTTTGGAAATTTTCGGGGGCTACTTTTTCAACTTTCGGGGGCTCTTTTTTCAATTTCGGGGGCTCTTTTTTCTGGGGCTACTTTTTCATTAATTCATCAAAGGATAAGCCTACAGTTTGTTGAGATTTGTTTAGTAGGCTAATGTTTCGGGCTTCCTGCTTCATAATTGCCTATTAAAAAAGAAACCCCTTTTTCTAGTTCAAGAACTTAGTTTTCATGCATTGATTTGATGCAAGAACTGTAACATAATAGACCCTAGATAGTCATTATTTCTGGCCATGAATTCCGATAATCATTTTTCAAAGTAAAATTTTCACAAGAAAATCAAACAGTCTTTTAAAAACGTAGACATTAGAGTCTAGTAATACTTTTACTAATTCTAAGCTCAGGTTTCGTAAATCTATTCACGAAACTATATTGAAATCGCGGCAATAATGATGCAAACCAACAGATAACAATTTCAAAGTGTCAAATCTCTTCGACTCGAATTCAACTCACACACTGCTGCATAACTGCAGCGTAACTCCAGGAAACTTCAACACCGGCGCCGCAGGCGTCGGACGCCTGCGCTGCCGGTATTGGAGCTTCCTGGAGTTAACTGCAACTCAGCTCATCTCACACACACTACACAGTGGCAATGCACTGTATTGTATGCGTGTCAGTTACGGTGATTTTGTCTGAATTTCTTTACTTTGAAGAAATGATTATCAAAATTACGTAAACATGGCGAGAACATCACAAAATAGGCTTTAATTTCATACCTCTATTTATGGAAACTTTATAATATTGCAGCAATCGTGAATTCGTGATGGAAATTGATTGCAGTTTCGCGATGTTTAGTGGTTCATGGTCTAGATTCAGCTTCTACCAAAACAAAATCGACCGCCAAAAACTCGAGCCCTACGCTCCATCTCGATCTCGCAACTGCGAAAATGTACGTGTTTTGGCGTACTTGCGTGCGACATGGTAAGCCAGGTAAGGTATGGAATATGGTTCGAGTTTTTTTACGACCGATTTTTGTGTATACAATTTTATACGGATAGTCATCGGTCGTGTGTCTACGGATGTCATGTTGAATATCCATGAGGTATCTCTGTCGTCACGCATATCCTGCATTATGCATATCGCGTCTGTTTTCGCCCTGGACGTCGACACGGAGGAGGACCTCGGGCGGAGTATAGCCAATTCCACAGAGTAGACTCTCCCGCGGACGATGGCACCGGGCACGGGTACCCCGAGGGGAGGGTTCAGGAGGAGATAGCCGCACCAACTTGGGTCGGCGATCTCATTAAAAAACAATAGAATACAAAGGCTCGCGGAGACGTAGCGCCCCCCGCGGAGCATTAGCGTATTACTTATATACACTAGCAGGACCCGCGGAAATCCGCGGGATTCTAGAGGGGGGCGGGGGGTGTAAATAGATATATAGAGACTGTCTAAATTAAAACCACCAAGAACTTTATTTGCCATTCAGGCCATTAAAAAAATATGCATGTTTAGTGTCCCCGCCCGCTTTTTTAAAAAATTTTTTAATTTTTGAAAGAAAAAAAAACAGCGTTCCCGCCTGCTTCCTTTTTTAAGGCCGCCTCCTATTTTTTTTTTTTTTTTTTTTTTTTTTTTTTTATTTTTTTTTTTTGTTGAAAAAAACAAAAAATGAAAAGCACTGCTAAAATGTATTTCTGATTTTAAAAAAGAAAAAAAAAAATTGTCGGCCGCCATCTTGAAAAATAGGCTGAATGTCAGGTAAAATGTACGGAGCGGCCATTTTGAAAGAAAAAAAAAAAGAAAAAAAGGGCCTCCTTCCCATTTTTCGAAAAAAACAGGACGCTAAACATGTTTTTTTTTTAATTTGGCCTTATATAAAAAAAAAAAACGATCCAACTATACCGGTAGTTATTCTTTAAGCCACTGGAACTGCGTAGAGTTCCGTAGTGTGGCGTACCGACTACGCAGAAATTAGGCTGCGTATTAATGGGAAAATAGTCCCTGCGTAGGTTATGCGTAGGCTGGCGTACAGGTTTGCTTATGGTTGCTTACTGTGTTGAAAGCTTTTACCGCTTTGTCAATCTGGCGTAGGGTAGCGTACTGTTGCGTAGTCATGTAGCGTAGTGTTGCGTAAAAAGGCGTACTTTCTGCGTCAAGTTTCTACGCCGAAAGTACGCGAAAAAAATGAAACATGTTGAATTGTTTTCGTTCATGTTGCGTACCCCTTTCCGTCCCCCAGCATATAGTAACGTAGGCCAGCGTAGTTGGTACGCAACACTACGCAACTCTACGTATTGACCCCACGCCAAATAAAGTATTAAAAATATGCTCATCTGACCCTAATTAAACGCCTAAACCCCCCGAGCTTTCGGGGGTTTATGGCCCCTTGAAACCCGTGGACCCCACGCCTACACTCAACTCGCTTCGATCTACCTGATCCCCTCGCCCCCCCACAACCCGTGGACCCCACGCCTACACTCAACTCGCTTCGATCTACCTGACCCCCCCCCCCACA